AGCTTCTAGGGGCACCTGGGTGCCTCAGTTTATTAAGCAACTGACTCTTCGTTTCAGCTCAAGTCATGATCTCAGGGTCCTGAGGTCAAGCCCTGCACCAGGCTCCAAGGTCAAGCCCTGCACCAGGCTCCACGCTCAGCAGAGTCTGCTCAAAATGCCACCTCCCCCGGAGGCCATAAGCTTTCTCTTTCTAAAATAAATAAAATCTTAAAAAAAAAAAAAAAAAGGTGTTAGCAACACAACAGTGGTACTCCTATTAAAATATATAAATGTATCAAATGAATATGTTGTATTCCCAAATTTTCTTTTAAAAAAGAAAGGAAGTCACATCACTTTACCCTTATACTTACCATTTCATTACATACCCTGATACTGAGAATTAGAAAAGCCACCAAGCAGCAGTAGTAATAGTACCATGTGCCAAACCCTGTCCTGAGCACTTTAAAATTTTAATTTTGTTGTCACAATAATCCAATAAAGGTAGGAACTATTATCCTCATACTGCACATGAGGAAACTAAGGCAAACAAAAGTTAAGTAACTTGTCCAAAGTTAAAAAGCCAGTAAGTGGCAAAGCAAAATTTTGTACCAAGGCTATTTGTTCCCTCCCAAATCCATGCTATAACCATTACTATACTTTACTACCTATTAAACATCTATTTTGATGGGGGGGTTATTAAAATTAAGTATATTCCCCATTCAAATATTTATTTAAGTATTAAAGTCTAAAGAAATTCTAATTCTCTACTTCATTTTCTGCCTACCTAAACAGCAATTTTTCTACATTCCCAACAAACTTTACATCAAATGCATGTTTAGACTCCATAAATATGTCTCTTGAGTCTTTCTTTTATGTCTTTCTTTTTAAACACTTTCCCAGTCACCAGGACATTTGTGCATTATTTCCTACAGTTGGGCTAGAGTTGCTAGAGGGAGCTCGCCCTCTAGTGGTCCCATGCTGATATGCAGTCAGATTAAGCATTTCACAGAAAGCGCTCCAATGCCTTTTTTCCTATTACAGGTTCTGTGGCAGAGCACACATAAGAAAAAAGAAAAGTATTAAAAAGCAAGTAATCCACAATGGGTCTTAATGCATTATTGTATTTAATTGAGAGGATGACACTATCCTCAGAATGGTAAGGCAGAACGAGGTCACCACGGACAATTATTTAACTCCTGGCTCCAAAATAGGCAATTCAAATACAGCAGAGCTTTTTTTTTTTTTTTTTTAAGATTTTTTTTTTTTTTTTTTTTTAATTTGACAGAAAGAGACACAGCAAGAGAGGGAACACAAGCTGGCGGAGTGGGAGAGTGAGAAGCAGGCTCCCCACTGATCAAGGAGCTCCACATGGGGCTCGATCTCACATGAGATCATGACCTGAACCAAAGGCAGACACTTAATGACTGAGCCACCCAGGCATCCCTATAGCAGAGCTTTTTAAAAAACCTACTATCCCTGTACCTTATCTTTCAAAAGGGGACTGAAAATGACTATTGCAAAATCTGAAATAAATTTCAAGCCATAAAATTTCTGTGAAAACAATCATAAGGCTACATATATCCTCCAGGCTTAAGGGACCTGGAAGTAAAGATAAAGCTCTTCATTTGCCCTTTCCTTCTCTAGAGAATATGTGATTGATGGGGAGCTCCTGAATAGGAGTCCCCTAGTCACAAACCATATGTATTCCCTTCATGTACAGTTAAGAGACAATAACAGAAATGGATTTTTTAGAAGCTAGAAAATAACTTAAACATAGCCAAAGTGCAATATACTCTTAGACGGTTATAATAATCAAAATGAGACAGTAAGCTACCAAACCTACCCACAGCTGTGCTTTACAGTATTGTTTTTCTTCTCTCAGGTCCTAGGCAAAGTACCAAAGTAAAATTTTTCTTCATCACTGTTTTCCAATTCCTAATACTGGCGGACTCTGGAGCACATAAATGAGATATTCTCCAACTATGACAAAGCGGTAAGGAATACTTATGTAGCAAGGAACAACCCTGAGAATAAGTAAAAGAAGTAAAACACCCAATTTACTGATTTCTAGTCCTTCTTCACTGAAATCACTGTTAATTCAACAAGTATTTAATGAGTATCGACTACATAAAAAGGTATACGGGAAGTACGATAAAGCATATAAAAATGAAGACATGGTCATTGTATTCAAAGAGTTTACAAACCAGTAAGAATTTAAACAGCAACCCAAACAAAGCAAGGGAGATCATTTTTCAGACTGGGAGGATAGGTGACATTTCATGAAGTAGCATTTACATAAGCTTTATGAAATGCAAAGGATTTTAACAGACAGGAAGGTATTCTAGGCAGAGGGAATTTTAGCAAGCGTTCAGTGCTCATGGTGCTAACAGCATCTGAAGAATGACCAGTCCCCTAGTTCCAGGAGCATACTGGGGTGGAAGGGAAAACAGAGTTGAGGATGAAATGGTACTATGGACTTTATTCCATACACAAAGGAAAATCATTAAAGACAATGAGCTGGGGAAGAAAGGGCATCAGCAGGGCTCAGGGAAGAAGATGATTCTGGTGGTAATAGGTAAGCTGAACTGGAGCTGGAGGAAAAGAAAGCTAGAGGCAAGCCAACAGCCTAGAAGGTCATCAGAATGGAGGAAGTGGAGTAATAAAAGTTCACACAACTGTGAAGGTAGATACAAATGTATAACTGAAGGGATTGAGCTAAAAAAAAACAAAACAAAACAAAACTGATTGTCCACATTTTTCCCCAAATAAAACCTGAGGTTTAGGATACACTTCTATCAGTGACAGTGCCTCACCATCTCAGTAATGATAAGAAAGGCCATGGTTAGGAGAGCCATCCAGGCCCTACTCTAGGAAAGCAAATGGAGGAGCTCCAGCAGAACCTCTGGAGGGAGAAGCATGTTACTTTATTTAAAAAAAAAAAAAAAAAAAAAGGCAAACACATATGTCATTTTGATTCACCTTCTGTGAAAATCACTGAATGAGAACTCCAAGATCCTTCTGACTTCCAAAGTCTATGGCCTTGACTTTGGTTCCATCTCATACACTGATTCCCCTCATTTATGCTGCTTATGGTTCTGGGATGTGAGAGGTGGCCTAGACCATGAAGATAATCTGAAGCAAAGGAAATGAACTATTCCAGCAAATAATTCATATGATCTCTACAAGGAGTGCTCTGTGGGTTTTGAACCATGAGGGCAGAAGTCTAACCTGAATTTAAAAAGGCAGAACTTAACCTGAATCTACTTCTTGAAAAAGAGTAATAGATATAAAATATGTTTATTATCTACTGGCCCATTTATACTGGGGCAGTTAAACTAAAAAGGCACTGAAATAGACAAATTAAAAGATAAAGGAGACACTACCTTTTTCCACACTTTTAATTACCATTATTGCACCAATACAGCATATGCTTTATATACATATATTTTAAATTTCACTTTTCAATTTTTCAGCGATTCAAATACATAATATATTATCATCTTGAGAATACAAAGAACACAACATGGAGGAAGATTGAGAAAATAGGTTCCCAGTAGTTAGTCACTAGTGATTCTATAGAACTTCCCATTTAGTGTTTTCTATTGGAATTTTAAAGTGTCCTGCCATGGCTCTGTAAGAATAGAGCTGCCTGGAACAGGAGGCAGTGAAAAAAAATGGACCCAAAGCTAAAAAGAGTCAGGAAGGAAATGCAGGAGAGAGAATATATTTTGAAACTAAATATAAGACTCCCTTCGGCCAGAGTGTACACATCCAAAGAAGTGCTAAGGGAAGAAAGGACATCCTCCCATTTCATCCTCAAAACTGCCGGTTAACAAAGTAGATAGTGCCCCTTCATCCAAGAAAGGGAACTCTCTTCACAGCATCGTAAAAGGAATGGTGGGGTAGAGGGAAGGGAAAGTGGAGGAAGAGTAACTTGCTTCTGAAATACCCCAGGTGACGGTTTATCAAGGCCATCACTCGGGCAAACCTACCACAGCCTGCGCCATGGACTCTCTGACTTCCTTCATAGATGACGATGTAGGTAATAGCAGCTTTCTACGGAAGAGCTAGATGGACTGAAAAATAAATGTTTATGGGAAGGGGCCAGATACCCAGGCAGCAAGGCAATATGGGTCCTGAAAGAGAGCTACGTGCTTTCAACCCCTCTGCTCTACATATCCGGTTAAAATCTCTAAACCCTTCAACTTCAGGTCAAATAATGGGGCAAATACAAAGTAATGCCACACTTCAAATGCAGCAACTAGATGGAGCTGCAAGAAAGTAAACGCTTCTCTACAACGTAACTTGGGAAACATGGCCCCTTGAACCTCCTTCATCCAAGAGACACCCACTGATCAAAGATGTTGCACTATTCAGCACAAAGAACAGAGAAAGTGCCACCAGCAAGACCCTCTGAGCATAGGAAGAAAGATGTAAACACATGAGAGGGTGACGGAGCTGCACCTGGCACTGGGTGTTCACTGAACAGGATAAGCCTGAAGGAGCATATATAACACTGACCCAGGAAACAGGTCTTTCTTCACACCTATCCCTATCAAAACTCAATTTGTAAACACTGAGGTCAGTCAGTCCATTGTTAGGGTCTTAGGTTAATGGAAAAGGAAATTTCAAGGTTTCTGTCTCCCCTGAAATTGCTAAATAGGGCACACAGGGTCATGAGATGATTTGGAAAGAAGGAAGAATTGAAAAGATGGGAGAAAAATTTTACAGATGGCAGATTTTGTCGTCCCCGCCCCCCCCCGCCCGGCGCAAAGAGACCTGGCCTTCTGAGCCCTGCATAGTCAGCCACAAGTACGGTGAGACCCATTATTCCCCTGCCTTAATAGTGAACAGGAAATAAGGGATACTTTCTTGGCTGTACAGCAAGTATCAACATAGGGGAGTGACATAAACCAGCTTGAATGCAATGGAGAAGCTATGAAAAAGATTGTCCAGTAATTTTGATTCTGGGGACAGTAGGAGTTCCTAGCTTCCCTCATAGATTGGTGCCCTCAAGTTCATTTTTTTTTCTTCAGGTCTGTCCTTAATGTCCTGCCAGTGCTATTCAGAACTGGACCCAGTTGGATGGCTGTGGTGCCTGGTTTGGAACAGAGCTGTAAGACAGGAGAAGAGAGAGAAAGTCAAAGGAATTAGGATAGCTACTCCATTCTTCATGTAATAGCTTCCAAGAAATTGCTGCCCAGACTTTCTGAAACTATACCTCGCAGAAATTCTACTTATCAAGTCTTGAGATATCCCACTCAAACATCATCCTACAACTCTCTTACCCCACCAACCCCCACACTCCCCTACTACTTTACCTAGAATTCCTGCCGAAGACTCTATGACCAGCAAATGCCCTGCTTTCCCAGATCAAGACTTCATTTAACTGTAACACTTCCTCTGACTGAGAGTATGGTGGTTTCATGAGGTTCATACCTGGATGCAGTGCTAAAGTCTCCCCACAGGTCACTGCTTGCAGAAACTGGAGCTGTTGCTGGTGTCGTGACAGGAGCAGGAGAATCCAAATCTAAAAGGATATCTGAATACACAGTAAAGAGAAGAGAAAGAAAAGGGAAAACATAATAAAAATCTTAGTAATAAAAACTTATGCTAACACAAATCTACACACAAATGTTCACTGCAGCTTAATCTGTAATAGTAAAAAATGGAAGACAACCCAGATGTCTTTCCATGGGTGAAGGTTAAACATACTGTAGTACTTCCATACCATGAACTACTACCCAACAACAGAGAAACTACTGACAGACACAACTTGGATGAATCTCAAGGGAAGTATGCTGAGTGGAAAAAGCCAATCCCCAAAAGTTATGTCCTCTATGACTCCACTTAATAACACTCACAGAAGTGACAAAATTATAGAGAGAGAAAAGAAATTAGTGATTGCCTAGGGTTAGTGAGGGGGTGTGAGGCAGGACACAGGAGGTAGGTGCGGTTATAAACGGATGACATGAGGGATCCTTGTACTGATGGAGCTGTTCTGTATCCTGACCATGGTGATGGATCCAAGAGCCTACCCACAATAAAAGTGCATAGAACTAAAAACACACATATACACACAAATGAGAACATGTAAATCTGATGAAATCTAAATAAGATCAGTAGATGGTATCGATGTCAACTTCCTGGTGGTATCTGACTTTGGTTTTGCAAATGTTACCATTTAGGGGAACTGAGTAAAGGGTACACAGGATTTCTTTGTGTTATTTTTTATAACTGCATGGGAACCTATGATTATCTTAAAATAAATAACTTAATTCAAAAAACTTTAAAGTAAACCTTAGACATTACACCCAGTGCCTTCTGGAGACACTTAAGAAAAGATGTAGGTTATAACCATTTTTACGTCAAAATTTCAAAAGAAGTTTACTCTTAGCAATCAATGATATGAATGCTCTACATCCCGTAATACAGTAAGTTAAAACTACAGATTCTAATACCTGCTTCTCTAATCTTTGGAAAATTCCTTCCCAAGTTCTAATGTTCCTATTCTTTTTTTTGGAGAAGAGTTGACATTTACTTATTTATTTATTTATTTTTAAAGGTTTTATTTATTTATTTGATAGAGAGAGATCACAAGCAGGCAGAGAGGTAGGCAGAGAGAGAGAGGGAAGCAGGGTCCCCCGCTGAGCAGAGAGCCTGATGTAGGGCTCGATCCCAGGACCCTGAGATCATGACCTGAGCCGAAGGCAGAGGCTTAACCCACTGAGCTACCCAGGGGTCCCTAATGTTCCCATTCTTGAAATGGAAAAGCTCCATCTATTCTTTTTCCCCTCAGATAATACGGAAGAGTGAAAATGTATTCATAAACCCAGATGCTGTCTAATTTTCTCCCAAATGCCTTTGGGAAGAAACAAAAGATAAAAAAAAATAACATTTACTGCATGGCTGCAATGTTCAAAGGACTATGCTAGGTGGTGTCACATCATTTCTCCTTTATAATCCTGGGGTAATTCTAAGTCTCCATTTTGCAGTTAAGGATATTGAGATGGGATGCCTGGGTAGCTCAGTCAGTTAAGCATCTAGCTTCACTCATGTCATGATCCCGGGGTGCTGGGATCGAGCCCTACGTTGGGCTCCCTGCTCAACAGGGAGTCTGCTTCTCCCTCTCACTCTGCCCCTTCCCCACGTGTACACTTTCTCTCTCAAATAAAATCTTTTTTTTTTTTAAGATTTTATTTATTTATTTGGCACAGAGAGAGAAGAGAACACACAAGCACCAAGTAGGGGGAGCGGGAGGCAAAGGGAGAGGGAGACACAGGCTCCCCGCTGAGCAGGGAGCCAGATGCAGGGCTCAATCCCAGTACCCTGGGATCATGACCCAAGCTGAAGGCAGATGCTTAACCAACTGAGCCACCCAAGCGCCCCTCAAATAAAATCTTTAAAAAGCAAAAAAGGATATTGAGACTCAAAACTGTAAATGTTACTAATACATTCAGATATAAAATAGCAGAGCTATAACCAAAATCTTACTCCATCTGACTCTCAGCCCTACTAGCATCTCACCAAGGTATAATGAAGAAAACAGTCATTAAATCTACTCATTTTCCAACAAAGAACCTGCCAAATACCATGACTCTCGGTTCACTGTAAAAGCTTTAATTCCTTATTAGAGGCTGCCAGAATCACTGTGTCAGTACCAAGTGCCATTTAACAGTAAAAACATCAAGATACTCCTTGACAAAAAGATGCTACCCAATCAAAACCTAAGATATGATGATTTCTCAAAGTTAGAAGAGATTTACCTGCATCACTACCTCCATGGTTAGATTTTGGAATGGGTGGTGGAGTGACATGATTGCTGATGGCAACGGAGGATGGTGGGGGAATAGTGACTTTGCCTCCAGGTGGGGGTGGGAGCAAGCTTAGGCCCCCAGCCCCTGTAGTCTTGGGCTTAGAAGCACCTCCTTTCTTAGTTGTAATGTTCTACATAGAGAAAACAGAGAAGAGAAAGAAAAAGTCACAAGCTTATTACAGAAACACAGGGAGTGGGGGAAAGAAAGCATACTCACCCCAATACTCAATTTGATGGTCTGTCCTTCCTTGAAGCCCAGATCCAACTTGGGACGATTATCCATGTCCTGAGATTCTTTGGAAATCTCAGATTCCTGCTTTACCCACCTAAAAGGGTAAATTATGTTAATCTGAGATTACCTGAGAGTCTGGCACACAAACCTGAGTGTAACTAACTTATGGGAAACAGGATTCCAGAAAGCAGAGTGAGGGAATATGAAGAATGAAGAAGGAAAGGAAGAAAAGCCATGAAAGAGGGCAACAGCGTTCGGTGGCACTGAGGAGCCACACAGAATACATATTTAGCTTGTCCCTCCAAGGACAGCATTTAGCTGCCAATTCCCATCCTCCATGGTTGAGCGCTGCCCCTGAGGGAGTGTTAATTCCTCAGTCCTTCCAGGCTGCATTCCTGTGCCAAGTGAGGGGACTTCCACAGTTTCAGAGTTCTGAGGCAGAAAAGCAGAGTTGTGCCTATGCCTGCCCTTGAAGTAGGGAGTAGACGGTGTGCATGATGCTACCCACCACAGCTGTGCCAAAACCAGGCAGGCGGAAGAAATGTTGAAACAGACACAGAACATGTCAGCTACACAAAGTAACAAAACTGTCCCACAACTCCCCACTACCTCCCATACAGTCCTGCTATTATTATATGCCTCCCTCAGCCACTTAAAAGCACAAGTCCCCAGAGACATAAGCAAAAGCATCTCAAAATACCGTACAAGGGACTAAAAACATGTTCCAGGTTTTAAGGAAAGGATAGAGCAAATACAAAGATAATGTAAGCAAATGGAAAGATTCAAATTCATAATGCACTAGTTTACCAAATACAGAAACCAGAAGGTAAAAGAGTGTCCATTCAACTGAAAAGGAGCACATCCAAAACCTTTTAACCAGGTAACTAAAGGTCAAATTTCACTCACTTGAAGTGATCTTGCAAGGAGACATTAAAGTCAAAGGCATCACCCCGATCTGTGAAGCCAATGCCAATGAAAGCACTACGCCCTGTGAAAAAGACAGGAATATTCTCAATAGGAAGTACCCCTTGGGGAAAATTCTACCCAGTGAAAAGTCCAGAACTTGAAACATTTTCTCACAGCCCAGGGGTCCACAATCTACATATAGCCCAAAGGCCAAATGCCACCATCACTTGTCTTTATAAGTAACATTTTACTTGAACACAGCTACACCAATTTGTTTACACATTATACGGCTGCTTTCACACTACATCAGCAGAATTAAGTAACTACAGTTGAGAACAAAATCTAAAATATTTACTAACTGCATCCTAACAAAAAGTTAGGACAACCTCTGATAGAGACTATAGAGAAAAGATGGAGAATGACTGCCCTAACATAGATGATTTAAGACAGTCCCACCAAAACCCACCACAAACAATGAGTGAATGGGCAATATGTGTTAATTCTTTGGTTAGTCAGACACTTTGATTTATTTACGTCTACCTATTAATCACCGTGTCTTGAACTTGTGTTCGTATCTATTACTAGTAACATGTTAATCCTTGTCCTTGCTTTTAGCAACTACAGTTAACTATGGAGAAAGGAGAGGAAAAATTTAGTAAACTAAAGAAAGATAAATGCAATTAGGACACACTTTCATTGAAGTGCATTACCTATTTTCCTACTACCATCCCATTCAAAATCCCAGATTCCTTACCAGTACCATCCTGGATCCGGATTACAAAGTAGCGGCTGGAATCTGTCACTGTCTCCACAGCAATACCAGGATATTGTTCTACTGGTGCCTGAGCAAAGAGCTCCCCTGACAGGTAAGAAAAAGACTTCTTTGGGCAAAGGAAGCAAAAATCTAAAACTCCAGTTAACAAATATTTCCATTCCAGTCCCCAACTTACATGTACTTATAAATGCACCAAACTAATACTCTTAATACGTCAGAGAGTCACCAGCACAGATTACCTGAAACTTTATCTTCAAGTTTGATGTAAGCAATCTTCCCTTTTGAAGTGATTCGGAGGCGACCAGTCCAATCAGGCTGGTCTAATTTCCAGTCAGATGCCCTAGAATAGGAAAATAGGAAGTCTCAGGTCCATGTCTTTAATTACTAAAAACCTACACAAATCATTTGTCACAGTTCTATTTTGCTGCCTGGGCTTATTCTTTCTACCTATTAAATAATCAATAAGAATAACTCATGACCCCTCTACATAGATGTCTCATTAGTACATATAGCCCACAGCAAACAAGTCCTTACTATGTAAGGATTATCCAATAAGCATCAATAAAAACATGTAAAGTACAAATACAAGCAATTTTTTAAAATTCTCATAATAATACCATTTCCCTACTGCAGATAATAATTTATATAATAGTATTTTACAGATCAGGTAACAACAAAGTCTACTAAATAAATCATATTGGTAATAGAACCCTTCCCAAATCCCTAAATGTATCATCATCTTTCACTGAATTCAACCAATATTTACAGGGTGTGTATTAAGTCACAGGCACTATTCTGAGCGCTTGGGATACAACAGTGAATGAACAAAACAAAGACTTCTACCCTCATGAGGTTTATAATATAAGAGAAAACAAGTAATAAAAGAAAACATAAAAAATAAGCAATATAAATAGTATCTCAGAAGATAAGTGCTACAGTAAAAAAGAAAATGCAGAGGCAAAAAAGGGAAACTGGAAGGGTAGTGGGAGAATAAACAGGTTGTAACACTCAAGAAGGTGGTTGGGGAGACCTTATTAACAAAGTGAAAAGTGAGCAAAAATGTGAAGGAAGCAAGAAAGTTACCCATGCAGATATAGGAGGAAGGGGGCAATTCCTGGACTAGAACAATTAGTCAACAGGTGCTGAGATGGGAGTGTGTCTGGAATGTCTGCCCTCAAGAAAAGGAAGCTGCTACAGTGAGAATAAAATAAATTAAGAGATGAAGTGAGAGAGGTAACAGAGGCCAAATTTTACAGGCCTTGTAAGAACTTTGGCTTTCACTCTGAGTGAAGAAGCCATTACAGGTTTTAAGCAGAGGTGAAACATGATCAGGATCTTCCTTTTATTTTATTTAAGAGAGTAGCTGTTTTTTTAAAAGACTTAACTTATCTGAGAGAGAGGTGAAGGGAGGAAGAAAAATCTTAAGCAGAACTTCCCGCTGAATGTGGAGCCAGACACAGGGCGCAATCTCATGACCCTGAGATGATCACATCCTGAGCCAAAATCAAGAGTTAGATGCTTAACCTACTGAGCCACCCTGTTGTCTGTTGTGTGTAGAAGCAATGTAAGTGACGAAGCATGGGGATTAGTTAAGAGATGACTGCAGTAATCTAGGAGTCATAAGGGTGACTAGGAAGAAGAGGCAGCGGAAGTGGCTACATTTTGGATATATTTAAAGCAAAGAAGAAGGATTTTCTAATGGATTTAATGTGAGGTAGAAGGAAAGAGAAAAGTCAAGGATGACTCTAAAGATTTTAGCCTGAGCAACAGAGCTGCCAATAACAGAGATAGACTATAGGTAGAGCAACGTCTGGGAAGAAAGATCAGGAGTTCAGTTTTGAATATGTAGAGTTTAAGATAGCAAACAGATTTTCAAGCAAAGATACAGAGAAAGCATTTGAATACGAGTCTGGAGTTTAGGAAAGACAGGTGGGCTAAACATACCAAAGTCCATGGAAACATTACAAATACTGAATACTTACAATTAGTATGATGATAAATAAATTTGAATGAAATCTAAGACATTTAAATATGACCAATTTTACAAAGCAGTGTCTTGTGGTTTTGTCAGAGCGTGGAAAAGAGAGGGCAAAGTAAAAGTTATTAATAACTTATCCTGGGGCAGCTGGCTGGCTCAGTCAGTAGAGCACGTGACTCTCGATCTCGAGGCTGTGAGTTCAAGGCCCACGCTGGTGCAGAGATTACTTAAAAATATTATCTTAAAAACAAAACAAACAAGCTCATCCCTTAGGAACCCGAAGACAAACACTCACAAGTTAGAAAGTAACAATAAGTATATCTAAACAATAATAAGTTTAACAAGATGGCAAGCAAAAAATGGAAAAGAGAAAGCACAGGTTTTGAACAGGATTTATAAGACAAATCTTTGTCATGTCCACCTCTCCTGATGCCCTGCCTCAAAGACGCTCAAGTACTTGAATCTGATCCAGAATACAATACTCTAAAGGTCCCTGTATTTTAATTCTTTTTACTATGGTCATCACTTCTTCTATTATGCCTCTATGAGCTAAACACAGTTTACTGAACGTATCAAAGCAAGCCTACCAGCTGTGTCTCCTGGGACAAGTTCCTTGTCTTATCTATCTTGCATGTCTAGTGGTCAATATTTAACAAATTCTCAATAAGTGAATGGCTATCCCCAGCAGCAGTCTCCTTCAGCCCTGAGCCTTAGTTCCTTTCCCACTCCCAAGACCTAGCCTGAGGAACTCTTGGTTTCACTGGTCTTCTGAACTGACTTCAAAAATTTTCATTCGCCTCAGTAATAAATTCTTACAGCAATCATACAGAACAGGCATGAAAAGCCTATTATCTCTGTCTCTCTAGGTGAAGAACAGTAACAGAGTAAGTATATAATGCCTAACTTCAAAGTCCAGCATTCTTCTCATTACCTTAAAACAGACTATTGAGCTTACTATTGATTTAGCTGAGGAGGAGGGTAGTGATGAATATAAAAATTTTTATAGGTTGGGATACTAGTTCTTCATCATTTATAACTTTCTCATAGACTTAAACTATCAGTGAAAGCCTGAGAAGCAACAGCTCACGCTAGTGATCTTAGTCACTCAAACCAAGTGACTCCTGCTTCCTAAAAAGCCCAGTTTTTCCTTTAATGGCAGCCTAAAGAAGTCATGCTTATAATGGAAAATATGTTCTGTAAACAAGATTAGGCAGAGAAAAAGACATAAAAGTAATGTTTATCAAGCATCTATTACATGCCAGGCATTATGCTCACTCTTAAGAAAATTAAGTGAGAGGATACTGCAAGGTGTAAGTAGTATATCCATTTTTACAAATGAGGAAACCACAGTTCAAAAGAGTTAAGTGTCGGGTGCCTGGGTTGGCTCAGTTAAGCGTCTGCCTTTGGCTCAGGTCATGATCCCAGAATCCTAGGATCAAGCCCCACGTCAGGCTCCCTGCTCAGTGGGTAGTCTGCCTCTGCCTCTCCCTCTGCTGCTCCCCATGCTTGTGCACTCTTTTTTTTTTTTTAAAGATTTTATTTATTTATTCAACAGAGAGACAGCTACAGAGGGAACACAAGCCAGGGGAGAGGAAGAGGGAGAGGGAGAAGCAGGCCTCCCATTGAGCAGGGAGCCCGATGTATTGCAATGTGGGGCTCAATCCTAGGACCCTGGGATCATGACCTGAGCGGAAGGCAGATACTCAACGACTGAGCCAACCAAGCACTCCTTGTGTGCTCTCTTGTTCTCTCTCTCGCTAAAACAAATAAAATTAAATTAAATTAAATTAAAAAAAAGAGAGAGTTAAGTGTCTTGCCAAAAGCAAATAATGGGAATCTCGATGCAAACTTAGTGCAGCTCTCTTCATTCATTATAGTAAGAGTGGATAATGATAAAATACCTTTTGGAGGATTAAAAATGTCAATAATAAGCAGGAAAACATAGATAACAAGAAAAAGAGGAAAATTAAGAAACTGTTTTGATGCCTCACTGCTGTTAACGGACATAAGGATAAAAGGCTCTGGATAAACTAGGAAGTGAAGGTAGAGAATGCAGATAGGTGAGAGAAGGAAAGTCTTTAAAAAATCTTAAAGCAGAAGAAAAAGAAGAGAACCCCACTTTATAGTATATCCTATCCTCCAGGAAGTCTTAACTATTAAGTTGGCACCTTATTTAGCAGTTCAATCAATGCTAACTTATGTGATTAAGTATAACCTACTAATTTCTTCCACATTTAGAGTGCCCACTATGTGCCAGACCTGGTGCTATAAAATTAGAAAAGAAAATTAGAAAAGAAACAAGTTGTTCATAGCTAGTCTGGGAAAACAGATCGAGCAATCAATTACAATACAGAAGGAAGAGCACTCACTATGACAGAGATAAGCATAGGTGTTGTGGAAGCATGCAGAAAACATACTAAAGCCAGAATGAAAAGGTAAAGGGGAGCTTCCCAAGGAAGAGATCTCAGCTGAGTCACACATATTACTACCTGTAACTACCATCAGAAAACATGTAGATTCCTATCATGGTCAATCTGGAGTCTGACTGAAAAACTGGAATTAGGACTCCCTCTTTACCAAAAGGTACAACCCACAGGGTCTAATGCACAGGTCAGCAAGCACAAAGATACTGAGTGATGATGAACTGATGATGAATGCCTCTCCGGTAAAGAGGCACAATAAAGGACACAGGAGGAGCACAACAGTCCAAGTAATAATAAATGCCAAGAGGAAAATCATGATGGTGATGTGGATCAGAGAACAATAAGAACAGTATCCTATATATTTACATGCTGCTTTACTGTTTCCTAAATTCTTTCACATTATATTATTTCATTTAACCCTCCAAAAACTTCTGTGAGGTACATAACCAGAGCAGATTTTATTATCATTAACTTTTTTTCCCTATTTCACAGATGAGAAAACTAAAGCTTGGAAAAGCTAAGAGATTTGTCTCAAATCATACAGCTGTTAAGTTGTCAGAGGTCATACTCATATTTCTTAGCATGTAATCCAGTTAACATGTTAATTCTTTCCACTACATGACCTCGTGACTTCCTGCAGCATCCTCAGAACCTCACTGTTATCGGATTACAAGGTGGTTAGTTAGCACTACAGAGAAAATGCTCCATTTACTCTGGAGAGAAAAAGCTATGGCAGAGGTTAAGGAGGGGGGGTGTAGGAAAATAGAAAATACTATGTAATCATCAAGAAAACGAACTGAAAAGAAACAGAATGGACAACCAATGAAAACCTATAATCCTAACCTTTGCCCACTAGCCACAGAACTGAAAGGAAAACCAAATAATGGATGGTATTTGGTAGCAAGACTGACAACAGCCAGAAGATAAACTGTATCGCCTACAGAATGGCCAACAATGACTATCCACAAAAGCGTACCGGGTACTGGTAATGGGTATGAGGGAGGACGGGAGGGGGGTTTCGACAAGGGTGACACACTGAAGGACGCAGGAAAGAACGAAAGGTGATTGGCAATAGAGCAGGGACGATTGGATGTGGACGATGGGGAGCAGATGGGTAACCCAGAGGGGCCGAAAGGAGGAGGGGTGTGAGGATGCAGACGGTAATTTTTCTAAAAGCGGAGGAAACCAGGATGGCATTCCACAGTGGGGAAAGAACTGGAGGGCCGGGCCATAACAACCCAGGTGGGCAGGCTAACAAGGTGACAACCCAGAGGTGGCAGTGGCAAGGGACGTGCAGCGTGCTACCTAAGGAGGAAACTGTCATCCCCGACCCGGTATGCATGTGCTGCAGTGCCTCGGGGTTAGTACCTGTAACCGCGGTTGGAGGCCCGGGGAGGAATCCGGTAGACGCTAACATCGGGCTTCACACACAGAACAGACTCGTACTCCAACTCGGCCGCCATCTTGGCTCTGCACTCCGCGCCACCGGAGGCGGGGCGTATGGAATGGGGGCGGACTCTTGGGGGCGGGGGAGGTAGGCTGTGCGCAACTTCCGCTTACGCTACTTCAGCGCGATTTTAATTGGGTTCCTGAGATTAACCTCTGGAGGTACCGGTTGGGGAAGCCATATTGAAACCTGGAAACCGTGAAGCTGTGCACTTCGCCATCTTGGGTAATGGCAAAACAGCCTTTCCAGTGCGTGACCCACGTTATGGAAATCTCGATTCCCAAAGGTGATTAGGGAAAGCGCCATCTTGGGGCTGGCAGGTTCCTGCAGTGCTTGAGGAGGAAGAGGACCATCTTGAAAAAACTGGGAGAATTTCTTTCTGACAAGAACCACTTTTTTTTTTTTTAAGATTTTATTTGTTTATTTGACAGATCACAAGTAGGCAGAGAGGCAGGCAGAAAGAGGAGGAAGCAGGCTCCCCACTGAGCAGAGAGCCCCACACGGGGCTCGATCCCACGACCCCTGGGATCATGACGTGAGCCGAAGGCAGAGGCTTTAACCCACTGAGCCACCCAGATGCCCTTAACAAGAACCACTTTTTAACCAGTTTCCCAGCAGAAAAAGGGTAATTACCTGTTGGTAATCCCAAACCTGGTACCTACAGTAAATACATGACTCAGTCATAGTCATGGTGGATTTTAATCCTCAGGCATCTAAATGTTAAAAATGCCCAGCCTGATTAGTTGGCCTAACAGCACCGTTTAATCTCGGATTTCACAGAACAACACCTGTTGAAATAGTTTGCCACACTTTCAATCAGTGTACATTCTGGTTATCTTTTTGGAAAATAACCTCAAACTCTTAAATGGGACCAACTCAATTACTGATAAATTAGTGAAAACTAATAAGCTATTACTTAATGCCCACTATTTGCTCCAAATCCTCTTGTAATGATAAATCCTATTGCACTCTTTCCATAAATATGTTCTTTGTACACTTCACATGTAAACCTGCCACAACACTATCACTTTGAACTGAGTTAATTAGCAGGGATAGCAGGTGTCAAAACCAAGTTATGAACTGAAGTCTGTCTAAAATAGCAGTGGTCTTTGCCCCTTATACTGACTGGTTGAAAACCTGTCATTAATAATAGCCTACCTGACAAAGTGATGATCTTAAAATTCAAAAAGACATACTTATTTTTTAAAGATTGTATTTATCCACTGAGTGAGAGAGAGCATGAGAGAGGAGAAGGTCAGGGGGAGAAGCAGACTCCCCGTGGAGCCAGGAGCCCAATGTGGGACTCCATCCCAGAACCGGGATCATGACCCAAGTGGAAGACAGTCGCTTAACCGACTGAGCCACCCAGGCACCCTCAAAAGGACTTATGATATATATCCCTGGCAAGGATGTGGGAAACCAGCTACTCTCATACACTAGTACCGTGAATGTACGTTGATAGAACATTTTGAAGGGAAATTTAGCAGAGTTGATCAAAATGGCATATATAACTTTAAATTTAGTAAAACCACTAATAGGTATGAGACTTTTTTTTTTAGATTTTATTTGTTTATTTTGAGAGAGGAAGAAGGAGAGAGAGCGCAGGCAAGCATGGAAGAGGAGGGAGAGAGGAAGAGGGAAAAAGAATCTCAAGCAAATTTCACCCTGAGAAGGGAGTCAGACACCTGGCTCCAGCTCACCATCTGAGATCCTGACCTGAGCAGAAATCAAGAGTCAAACTCTAAACCAACTAAACCACCTAGGTGCCCCTAGAGATATTCTTATATGCACAATAAAGTAAGTACAGTATTTACTACAGCATTGTTTGTAATAGTGAGTAATACAAAACAACATGAACACCTATCAGTAGAAAATATATATTAATATATCTATAACATGGGATGCCTGGGTGGCTCAGTGGGTTAAGTGTCTGCCTTTGGCTCAGGTCGTGATCCCATTGTCCTGGGATCCAGTGGTGTGGGGCGCCCCACTTAGGGAGAAGCTTGCTTCTCCCTCTGCCTCTCCTACTGTCCCTGCTACTGTCTCTGCTTGTGTTTTGTTCCCTCTCTCTCTGTGTCTCTCTCTGTCAAATAAATAAATAAATAAAATCTTTAAAATAGATAATATTTATAATACATATTATGTTATACATAATATAGTAATATGTAATATAATACATATATAATATGTAACACATTATTTATATAATACATATTATATATCTATTATTTATATAATTTATTTTTATATCTAATTTATTATATATTATTTACATAAAATCTAAAATATATAATAAAAATATATATAAATATATATTTATATTATATATTTTATATATTATATGTAATTTATATTTAAATTTACATATGATATAGTAATATGTATTATATTATTTATATTGATATATTACATATTATCTATAATATAAATGTTATATAAGATTTATATATTTTATATAAATACATCTAAATATATGTTGGTACCTAAATATATATTTATATATAATATATTTACATATAAAATATAAAAAATAAAATATATTATTTTTTTAAAATAAAATAAAAATAAAATATAAAAAATATATGGCCATAGGAAGGCCATAGGAAAAGATCCATGATAAAAAACAAAAAAAAAGAAAGTTTATTAACTTTCACTTAAAATTTCAATAATCCTAAACTACTCTGGTTCCGGAATTGTCCGTGTTCATCATATTCTTCACACCTTTACATGCATTAAACCTTCTATCTTGAACATTTTCCTCTAGCTTGTCAATTTGATACATTCACATATCTGTTCAAATAATACCTCCTCTTTGACTTCACCAGGTACTTTTTTCTAATTCCAGTGTAGTTAACATACTGTGTAATATTAGTTTCAGGTACGATATAGTGATTCAACACCTCCATACCTCACCTGGTGCTCATCACAGCAGGTGTACTCCTTACTCCCCATCACCTACTACACCCATGCACACACACACACACACACCCCTTAGTAACCATCAGTTTGTTCTCTATGGTTCAGATTCTGTTTCTGGGTTTGCCCCTCTCTCTCTCTTTTTTCCCCTTATTCATTTGTTTTGTTTCTTAAATTTCACATGTGAGTGAAATTTACCCACAGTAGAAACACATTTTATATTAGAACCCAATGCACACATATGTACTTGAAACAAAGTTTTCCCAAAATGATAATTCTATTAAACATGATGGCAGTTTATAATTTTTATTGTGTTCTATTCTATTCTATTTTATATTATTGTTCTCAATCCACAAAACTGATTTCAATACTAGTAGTACATCTTGACCCACTTGACCCACAGATTAAAGAAAAAGTAATGAAGAAAGACCAAGAATGTTTCTGATAATTAGATCATATACTAAGATTATTGTGTATATTTTACTCTGCTTTTTCAAAGAGTCATCTTACTACCACCTCACACCAGTCAGAATGGCTAAAATGAAGAAGTCAGGAAACGACAGGTATTGGCAATGATGCAGAGAAAGGGGAACCCTCCTACATTGTTGGTGGGAATGTAAGCTGGTGCAGCCACTCTGGAAAATAGTATGAAGGTTCTTCAAAAAGTTGAAAATAGAGCTACCCTACAACCCAGCAATCGCACTACTGGGTATTTACCCTAAAGATACAAATGTAGTGATCTGAAAGGACATGTGCACCTGAATGCTTATAGCAGCAATGTCCACAACAGCCAAACTATGGAAAGAACCTAGATGCCCATCAACAGATGAATGGATAAAGAAGAATTTTCAGTGTATTCCAGTGTGTGTGTGTAGTGGAATATATGGAATACTATGCAGCCATCAAAAAACAAAATCTTGCCATTTGCAATGACGTGGATGGAACTAGAGGGTATTATGCTAAGCAAAATAAGTCAATCAGAGAAAGACAATTATCATTTGATCTCTCTGATAATGAGAAATGTGAGAGACAGGGCAGGGGGTCGTGGGGGGGAAAATGAAGCAATCTAAGATCGGGAGGGATACAAACCAGAAGAGACTCTTAAACTCAGGAAACAAACTGAGGGTTGCTGGGTGGGTATGGAGGGAGAGGGTGGCTGGGTTATGGACATTGGGGAGGTTATGTGCTCTGGTAAGTGCTGTGAATTATGTAAGACTGACGATTTACAGACCTGTATCCCTGAAGCAAATAATACATTATATGTTAATAGAAAAAAAGAAAAAGAAAATGTAATAAATTCAATTAGCCAACAACAAAAGAAAGAAAGAAAGTCATCTTACAAACTTTCCACCGACTGTACGATAAAGTCTAATTTTCTTAGCTAGATGATTCTTAATAATCTTGCCCCAACCTTCTTTTCAGGCTCACATAGAGCCACTTTTCTCACACCATCTTCTTCTTGCTCCCAGTGTCTTCTCTAACTTAATCACATTGCTGTAATTTTCCAAACGCACCATCTTTGTTCATGTTGAACATATTTGCACAGACTGAAATGCCCTTCCCATTCATTCCTTGGTAAAATGCCTTCAGATGTAATTTATATATCAGTTTATCTGAGAAGTCGTTCTCGACTTCCCCAAACTCAGCTCTACACTCCCACAGCCTTATTTATACTTAGTTTTTAATTCTTATCACATTGCATTCAACTGTTAATAGGTACAAAGGCAAGAAACATGTTTGTATTTACACAGTATCCATCACAGTTTTTGGAATGCAGTAAGAACACCATACTTTTTTTTTTCTATTAAATGAATGATCATTTCTGTCCATCTTTACTGCTATAATTTGTTCTTTCTGAATCCAAAAAATGCTAAATATCTTGGCTGGAATTCACCTCTGCCCACCAGCAGGGGGTAGCAGCTACACAATTAAAAAGTTCTGGACTGGAGATTAGATTAACTGTCCCAGAAATCAAGCTAATTTTCTCCTATGTGTGATTCTCCAATTATATGTGATTTAACCGAGTTCAACAAAAGCACTTTTGTTAGAAATGTCAGGGGCCTCATACAACTCAAATTTTGATTATTTTTAGATATATTTTAAACATGAAAATAAAGGTCAAGTTTTCTTGACTTTTT